TAAGGCATTGATTTCACCATAATCAATCAATATAAATTCTGGATTAATATACTTTCAAAACCAATTTATTGAGTGTTATTGCATGTGATGGCGGATTTTCCTAAATTAATTAACTAGCTTTCTCAAGTCAAGTTAATCCTTCACTAGTTTGTTAAATTAATCATATCTTTATGTAATTTTAAACCAACTAATGAGCATTAAATTATATGGAAACCTCTAGCTTAAGAAGGGGGAGCTCCTAACTCTCTTCTCTTCCTCCATTACCACATGTAAGCTAATTACCTCTCGGTCTCATAGTCTAGCACACGGTTTATATTATTATTGGTCTAATCTACGCAATTCTTTCTCAAGTTCATGTATAAATCACTAAATCAATTGAAAGGTGATTAGACTTCTAATGCATTAAGTTCAATAATATAAACTTCTCATGCGAATAACTTTAATTAAAAGTATAAAACCACAAAATCTATATTGAATTGTTTAGGCTACATCATAACCTTAATAAAATAAATCAGTTCATAATAAAAATAATAAAATATGAAATCAAAGTTATGAACATTCAAATATCAAACAATAGATAAAAATCCAAGGAAAAACAAAACCCAATTTGAGGAAATCGAACTCATTGATCTTCTATCATTGATGGAACCTCAATCTTGATCTTCTATTGTTGATGGAACCTCAATCTTGATCTCCAATAATGCCCAAAAGAGGGCTGTCACTAGCCTCTCCAAAACTCTCCTCATTCTGAATTTAGATGGGTATTTATAGGATTTTAGAAACCCTAATTGAAATAGAAGTAGGACTTGGAATAGAAATAGGAAACTGAATTTTAGATGCTAATCACGTGGTGTTGACACTTCGGATTACGTGTTGACACAAAATAGGAAACAGAATCTGATTCTTGGACGTTTAGCGCATGGTGTCGACACCCCGATTATGTGTCGACACTACACCCGTGTCGGGTTTCTGGCCTCCTTTTGCAATTTCTTCAATAGTAAAATAGCAGATTTGGTTCCTAACTTCTGGATTCTGCACAACTTAATCCTCAAGTCTCTGATCTCTTCAATTTACTTTTAAAAAATAGGATTTCTTCCAATTAAATCCTTTTCTACACAAAGGATGAAAACCATGTAAAATCAAATAAAATCTCATAAAACTCATCAAATATCAATAATATCAAAGTAAAAATTCCCTATTAATATGTATATAAATTTAGCTCATCAATTGTGCATGAAGAATGTTTGGAAGGTAATTATAAGTCTATTGAAAAAATGAGGGCAGCCAATCGTTCACCAGTTACTCACGTCAGACAGGTAATTTTTGGTTTAAACTCTGCTTAGAGAATTGTGTTGACTACCTGTTGATGAAGACTCTCTCTACTGGTTTATTGTCTTATATGTTTCAATTTTTGGCGGTGTTTTCACTACTTGCAATTTTGATATTGATTAAACAGTAACTCCATTTCTGGGAGCTTGTGGATTTTAATTATTTCATAGTATAAGGAGACACTGCAACACAAAAGATCATGACTTTTCTTTGTTTTTGTTCCCAAAGGAAGATGTAATGGAGAAACCACTTGTCTGTTAAAACTTGCAGTGGCCAAAAGTTTATATTTTTAAAATGATTGTCTTTGTCTTAAATTTATGTTTCTTATTTTATATTCCTTCCTTATTCTAGTTTAATGATGAGGATGAGGA